TCATTATTTCTATGAATAAATCATAAAAACAAAATTGATTGATTAAGATAACGATCGATTCAAGACTTTTTCAACGAAATATTATTGTTTTGATAAAAGAAAAATATTCATAAGCACATTGTAAATATGAACAAAACAATATATTAAATACATATTTTGAAAGAATAGTTGAAAGAGAATAAAAACAAGTGTAATATACGACAACTGCAATATTATACAAAACAAATAATTATACTGATGTCGGTCATTCTGTTTTATGCCAATTGCTTAGTACATGTTTAGAATATCTTATATTGTTTTTTCTTGTTCACAGAAATCTTTCTGTTTTTCATGTTATTATCTCCCCAATGGCAACCCCAGTTGCCATTTTATGTCGTACAATCTTTTATTCAACTAATTTGTATGAAAATTTTTAAACGAATTTTATTCAATACCAGTAACTTTCATCGATATTTATCGCACAGCACGTCATAAAGATAAGTATTTCTCATGGCTAAAAAAGAAACAATTTAAAAAGAAGAGACCCTTTTTTTAAATATAGGATATCCAAAAATTATAGGGCCCCTCTTCCCCCGCACATTCATACAATAATATTTATTTCATTAGGAAAAGTTTATATTTATCAAACTATTGGTGACCTATTTATGTGAGCATGATTGCCTACTAACTATTACTATTGTCGCTTGTCTTTGTCTATTCCTCTATGAATGAAATATTTATTATTGTATGAATGTATGGGGGCCCCTATAATTTTGGGATACCCTATAATTTCATAATCGACTCTTTTGTAAGTCATATATATTAGGGAAAGAACAAGGATACAAAGTATTTTTTTAACCAATCAGTAGCTTAGACAATCTTCTGCACATAATATATAAAGAGTTTTCTGATATCAAGCGTTCTACATCTTCCATAATATTTCTAAAAATGGCAATTCCATTCGACAATGGATGGTAAAAGGTTAATAAAAAAAGAAAATAACTATAATTCATGCCGAAATTCTGTTGATTTTGTTTTTACTCAAAGGAGAATATAATTATGTAATTACTCTACAAGTTAACGAGAAATTTCAGTTGAGTGAAAGTATTCGGCATTCTTGCAAAAAGCAAGGAACATATTTTCGAGTTTTTTATATTTTTTCTTCAGTTGATCATTGAAAGAAAGATATCTATAAATCAATAAATATGAATGAAGAATTCTTCTTAAATTTCAATTGTTTAATCTGAACTCTTGTATAATCAATCAAACTATAAAGACATATTGAAAAGTGATAAATACATTTGTTTTTCAAAAAACAAACTGCTGTGGGATAAAAACAACATGCGAATATATCAAAGAACAAACTTCTGATAAAATTCTAAAATCGACAGTTGATTCAATAACTATTGTATTAAAAATTTCAATCATGATTCAATTCATTATTTCATTGAAGAAAATAATTAGAAAAATATTCATTGAAAATTTTCCAAATAAAATGATCTCATTCCATAAAAGTCAAATGCGATATCGAGAAAAACAGTGCTCTTATACAAAGAAAAACGATAGTTTCAATTTTATAAACATAATGACAATTAGATTTCATCGAAAACTCTTTGATTTTTCATGAAATAAAAAAACAAACAAACAAACTAACGTAAATCAAACTTTTTGTTTACACAATGTTCTTTTTTATAAAGAGATCAATTATAGAAAGAAAGGTAGTAAAGATAAAAATAAAAAACATTCACAATCATAAAGGTAAATCTGTTCGATATATAGATTATAGGTCAATGGTAAATTCATTGGTTTAGTTTTCTTTATTTAATAAAATAATTATATATTACAAACTAAATATCAGAAACATCTATAAATACGTTAAACAAGAAAATAATTTGTCAGAAAAAAAAATTCTAAAATTCAATATAATAACGTGATCGTGAGAAGCACGCCTACATAAAAACTTTTTGCGTTATAATCTTTGAAATTCTGTTTGTTTCTTTCTTTTTTTCTTTCTTTCTTTGTAAGTAGTAATATGCCCTCATACGGGTCAAGAACGGCGTCCTTTATTTTTTTTTTCTTTTCTCTTTCATGTTATCGTAGAAGAAGGCAATAATAGGGCCAAATATAAGGGTTGAAATAAGTAAATAAATAAGCCAATAGCTGAGCCACAGTATTCTTCATTTAGAATATCAGCTGCTTCGAACATGGATACCGACCAACAAAATCAAAAAGTATTTTTTATTTTCTTATTTTGTTTTTTTTCTCGAATGACATCATTTTTCACAATAATTACATAAGATTTTTCTTTTATTTTAGTCTATATGAAATTTTTCCATTTTTTTTTAAATACTTTTTTATTTAAAATCCAAACTAATTATTCATATTGAATTCGAAAAATAAAATCAATGTAATTTGTGATGCTTAAGATGTCACTAGAAACTTTATATATTCGAAACAATAAACAAGACATAAACAGAGGTCTACAAAGATATCGAAAAAGATAATCCTTGAATTTTCTAAGCTGTAAAACTTTTCTCTTGTTTCAACAAATGTCAATGCAAGATGTGAATTTTGTTTTTCTCTTTCTATATATATATAGATATGATAATATTATTTTTTTAGGATATATCAAAAGTGTTCGCTGTATTACGAGCGAAACTGAATGCCAAAGAAAAAGAATTACTTGAATTGCAACGAGCTGAACCATGTTTATTAGCACCTGATACTGAACAAATAGAGACATTACTCAATGCCATATCTTCTCTTCATTTATCAACACAAGAAGGTTCATTTATTTTTGCTTCGGATTCTGCTTCCAATAGTTTTTCTTCAACAAGTGTGTGTTCAACTGGTGTTGATTCGATAAAAACTTTACCATCAACTGTTTGGTTACCCGAATCAAATCATGTTGAACAGAACGAAGAACAGAAAAATAAATATCGTTTACCTATGGTCACTCATCTTTTTTCATTGCCTGTTAATGCATTTGTAGCTTCATCATTAAATAATTCAAAATTACCATCGTGTGAAACAACAGTTCAACCAGAAGATGAACCTTCAAATCGTCTTCCCATGGTTAGTCAATTGTTTTCAATGCCTATAAATGCTTTCAAATCGTCATCGAATATACAAACAATGAACGAGTCTGCACTTGTCCAAATTAATGATACAAAAAAAACGTATGTATATTATCTTCGTTTTTTCTTCTTTATATGATCAAAATAATATAATTTAAAGATGTATTTTAGAAGATACTATCGAGGACTATTGAAATTATACCCTTTAATTTTTTTGTTTTTTTATTCCTATATGTTTTTATCTATTAACCTACTATATATAGGGAGAAAGTCTAAAATTTGCAGCATCTTTTCGAATATTTACTTTGAATATCAAATGCAATTTAAAATCTAAAAAGTGTATTGGAAGAAAAAGGACATTTTTTTAATTTGCATGGTGTCCATAATGCTGTAACATTTTTTATTTCGTGCATATCTCGGCTTAGATAAATGATAAAACCTTGAATTTTTTTTTCAAAAGATGTACCGTGAAAAGCTCTACAAAAGCTATATGATTGAATTTCTTTTTGCTTGTTTTGTTGGTTTTTCTTGTACTCAAAATGAACAACTTTTATAGCAGTGTCACTTCCGATCATACTGAAAATATTGAAAGACTTTTATGTTCTACATATATCTCGACTTCAGAAAATGATGGAATATTGAATTTACTTTTAAAAGATGCGCCGTCGAAAGCTCTACAAAACTTGTATAGACCAAATCCTATAGCGAATCGGAAAAGTTCTCGGAATATTTTCTATATGATAGGAAGTAATACTGCCACTAATAAGTTGTTCATTTGAGTATAAAAAAATGATCAGAATAGGTAAAACAGATTTAATCATGCAGCGTTTGTAGAGCTTTTCACGGCGCATCTTTTGAAAAAAAAATTCAAAGTTTTATCATTAAATCTAAGGCGAAATGTGTGCTACATAAAAAAATATTACAACATTATGGACACCCAGTTGTTCAAAAGAAAAAAAATGTCCTTTTTTATTCAATACACTTTTTACATTTTAAACTTCATTTAATGTTCAAAGTAAATATACCATAAGATGCAGCAAGTTCTAGGCTTTCTCCCTATATATAGTAGGTCGATAGATAGAAACGTATAGTAATAAAAAAAACAAAAAAATCAAAGGGTATAATTTCAATTGTACTCGACTGTAAATATCAAATAAATTGTTTTTATTTTAGAGTAACTGATGATAAAAATATCTTATCAACAACAGAAGTACCAAAGAGTATTTTAAATCCTGGAACGATTTATTCAAAAGAACATTGGCTTCGAAAAACTTCATCAGATGAATCTGAATCTATTCCTTTAGATTTAGATTCATATATTCAACAGACAACTGAGAAAATGCGTCGTCTTCATATGGAATACGTCGAAGCACTTGAGAAATTAAAAACACCATCAAATCCAGTAGATTCTTCAAAAACACTTAAAACCATGTATCCACAAATGTTTGATCGAATTAAGCAAGAGATGCCAACTAAGAACCCCACCTAGCTTCCTCCCTCAAATAAATAACCTTTTTTTTCTATATCAATAAACTAACTACACCAAAAAAAAATCTGGAATCTATTACTCTATTTGAGTATCACAAGATCATTGATGATTAGTAACAGTAAAATTATTCTCAAAATAAAAGTTGATTGTTCAATTGTGAGAGAATTATATGAAAATAATCTATATAAGAATTTTTTTTTACGAGATCCATCAAATTTTTTAAAACATTCAAGTTTATATGAAAATTCATTAAAAATAGTTTTAAATTGATTATTTTATTAGAATATATCGAAGACTTTTTTTTTGTTAATAATTATTTTCAATATTCCATGTCGATTCTTCAAAAACACAAGTTACATGTGTGGTTTGTTCCATTTCTTGTTGAACAATGAGTATTTTACAAGAACATAGGAGAATTTGATGCACAATAAAAAAAAAATAAGCCTATACGAATAAGTTGAAATATCAAAAAAGTCAGACCAAACACAGTTCTAAAATAAAATTAATAAAGAGAGTTTTGTAACAATTGAATTCATCTGTACAAGTCCAAGTTACTTGGTTATTTTTCACATAAAAAAATAATTTTCATTTAAGAGCACTTCGACCTTGTTCTAGATTTCTCAAGAACGTTTCGACCAAAAATTCTGAAACTTTCAGGGTATTGATAAATTCCGACTAGTACAGTAAAACTTGTCGTAGACTCAGAATTCTCCGATGTTTTCTTTCATGAGATATAAGAGACGCAAGAGTCAAAAGGACCTGATACCTCCCTCACAACCAGCCATAATTCATTTTTTATGGTTAGATATTTTCCGTAATAATTAGAACCAAATTGAGATGTATCGTTTTTTTCTTCTTTAAAAAATATTGTTTTATTCAGTTAGCAGAATCAAAATATATGAAGCCCTATCAAAAAACATGTTTTTTTTGCTTACGGCAAATTTTCCAAAATTTGTGAAAAATTACCAAAACATTATTTTAATAAAATGTACATCCGATTTGATCCTATCTGTCACACAGAGAATTTCAGCTTAATCGATCCGAAGCGGTTGGAAGAAAATGGGGAAACACCGTTCATTTTTCTCTTCAAAAATTGATTTTGAGAAAAACATAAAGCAATCTACAGTTTTCGCTAATTTGGTTTTTTTAATGTTTCAAAACAATTTTTGGATCTGAAAATGCACTTAATAGATATATAAAACTTCAGATTATACAATGAGTACAAAAAAAAAATCAAAAAATGCAAAAAAAAAACAAATATTTTAGGTCATGAAAGGGAAAAGAATGCCATTAATTTTATTATTAAGACTATTTCAGAATGTAGATATCGTTGGTATTCATCTTGTTACTTGTATCAATATTGATCGAACATTTCGAAACCAATGAAGATTAGTTGCTAAGCATCAAACAATTTTCGAGGTTCATCTTCAATCAAATTCGTTTGTTTATCTGAAATTTAAAATATTCTGTTCGAAAAACAAAGATAGCTTGTTTTTTTTGTCGAAATAAAACATCTTACCTTTGTATTTAGAATAGTTATTTGAGACCTATAACCAATCATTGCATTTTTGTGTGATTACTTTTATATAATTTAATCCATGATGAATAATATTTTCAGATTCTGTAAGACAAATATCCAAATCAGCAATTGAAAGAATATGTTTAATGATATATTTTAAAATAATTTGACGAGCTTATAAAGTTCATATTTAGATTAATTGAGTTGAACCTATTTGAGTACATTGTATAGCATTGATTATCTCATGAACATATTATCTAGTCTCTTGTAAGATATTTAATAGACGACAATCAAAATTAGTATTAATATAAATGACTATCAATATCTATAGTTGATGTAAAAGCATATGAAAAGTCTGTTATTTTTTCTTTAACAGATTTACTTGTGATCAAGAGTTTAAGACTTGTATCAAATTGAATATATCGAAAATTTCTACCACAAGTCCTTATTGGTTCTGTAGCCTCTTCGATAGGATTAAGATTAACAAATACTTATTTAGGAAATAGAAAGATAAATTTAAGAAGAAAAACATAAAGAAAACGGCATTAAGTCTTCAATACATAACTGTCTTCCATCAATAAAACCTGTTTGTCGAAAAATTCGTTTTAATCAGAACTCAGTGTTTATGATATTGTAAAATGAATTTAAGAATATCAATAATAAAAAGAACTTATGAAACAGTACTAATTAATAATCATCAATATCTAACATCCTGAGCAAATAACAATAGAATATGATAAATTTTCAATTAATAAAGTAATTATCAAAAATAAATCTTCGAAATTTGTTGGATCAGCTGATTGATGATAACGTGTTTTATGATCTATATCGATTTTATTAGTTATATTAATGTTCACTATGGAAAGCAGAGAATTAAATGAAGACTGATTACATCTTATTGTATTGATATCATTTTTTTTCTGATCAACACTCACTAAATCAATTAACTTTATTTTCTTGTTTACAAATTTCAGACCAATAAGATGTGCGATTACTGCGAACGAATATTGAAAGTAAATTGTTTTAAAAGAGTTTTAGAAAAATTAATTTATTTTACTAAGCATGCTGCAATTTGTAGAGGTCATTACTTTTTTTTGAAAATAAAGACTTTTTAATATTCCGATAGTTACTGCAA